GCGACGACGATAAGCGCAAGACTAAAGGACGACGGCAACCGCCCGGTTATATACCCGGCGCACTCTGACCCGCAAAGCCGCGCCCGCGCACCAGCCACCCCGGGGCATTTCCCTCCTGCGTTCCACGCTGTCTCTCTCCCTTTTCTCGGCCGCCTTCCATCGCGTGCTCGCTTTCCGCGAACCTCGTGTTTGTTTACCTGCTCGTGTGGACCAGAGTCGCTATGGGGGATCCATCGCGAGCAGTCGCGAAGAGCTGTGTCCGTTTTGCTCGTGTTTCGGCTTTGCTTTTGATTCTGGATCGTGCGAAAGCGGATAGAGAAGATGATAGCTGTTCGAATCGATGAAATTTTAAGAGGAAGCGCGATCGATCGAGATTTCGAATTTTTTCACTGGCAAGATAATTTAGCAACGATAATAACGGTAATCTGTAAATTAAATCTCTGTCTACGTTGAAACACGACGTGCGAATTTTGTAAACGATCGTTGATCTGTAGGACGATCGTTTATTCTGTATCGTAGTAACAGCGAAATAGTCTGGCAATGAGACAAACTTACGATTGATCTAATTTTTACTTATCGAATAATTTTGTTTACTTTCCGTATTATTTATTAATCCATCGAGTTTATTTATCGATCGAGCAGTTTTATTGAAAATTTGCCTACAAATCCACGATAAATATGCAAACGCTGACTTTTATTAGAGAAATTGTCGTATTACACCAGAAATGAAAGAAACGTCGAGATGAATATAGATCAAAGAATTAAATCCTTCTGAAAAATTATTTCAGGAATTAAATCTTTTCAAGAAGATTATTCAAACGATCGTCTCGTTGATAACTTCAAACGGAACATGTATAAAATTCAGTTCTTTTTTCGCTTTCACTCTGTTCCATTTGAATTAACAGCTTGGTAACGCTCTTTTCTTTATTCTTACATTTCTCGTAAGGATACAATATGCTATCTTCTTTGACTTTGAGCCAGGTAATTGTTTTAATTTTTTAATTTGGTTATACTCCTTTAACCGTATCCTTTTACTATCGTGCCATTTATAGATACATATTACGTCATTGCGTTTTTTTCGTGGTAATACGTGGCACACGTATCCGCTGTAGTTACGAGTCCGAGACCTTCGTTTATCATTTTCAATCGCATCGAATCTCTTCGCTTCTTTACTTCTAAATTTCGTTAATAATTTTCTAATATTTGTATTATTTGATATTTCAAATCCAAGAACAAACTTTTCTTCGTCTTTTAATGTTGAAAATGGCAACGTGAGTTCGTGCTCGCCATCCATATGCAGATGTGTTAGTTATAAGAAATAGTAACTAGAGCATGATCCTAGTTACAATCGATAGATTTAATCGATAGGCTTAGGATGCTTTTTTGTTTTTATCCCTAGTTTTTGTAACCGCGTGCAATCCGAGTTTTTTTGGCTCAGAAAGGTGTGATAGATTTATCCATTCGATAAAATAATAACTGAGTATAGAAATAACGACATTTAATGCATGCAAACTTCATTATTCTTTGAAGACACATTAAAGATACATTAAATAAAAACTTCAGATAAATTTCTATAAACAAAGTTGAGTTTAACAATTTAATAATTCATTAAACACATCGCTCGCTGAATATTCGTATCTTATCGCAAGTATCGCACAAACAAAACAAACACACAAGAGACCAGCATATAACAAATGTGCATTTCTGTGCAACTATGAGATCCAATAGATACGATGGATATAATAAAGATAGAAATAATAAAAATGACCTTTTCATGGAGATTTAAGTTGCCATCGTTGAGAAAGCCAGAAAGAATGGTCAGAGCGAGTAACTGTCCCTTCATATTACCTTTCTAAATGCAGCTCTCACCTACATAATAAAAAGAGTTGTTACCAGCATTGAAATCAAAAACAGAATTAGCCATTTACCAGGAACGAAGAGTCGCAGTACGTAATCGTTCTTCGTTATTGCCTGCCTAAATGCGCATCGAGGATTACGAGGGATCGAACGAGGGAACGGATCGGTGGCACCCGCCGAACGTAATGAGAATACGAGCTCGTTATGGGAAGCGATAAAGAGCTTGTTGCGGGGGTGGCATTGCAAAGTATTACAATAGAGACGTGTTTCATCGCGGTCTATGGAACGTTCGTTTTTATGACATTCCTTGTCCATCGAGCGGATTCGTTCCCTGAAAACCACTCGCACAGCGTTCAAGTACCTAGAAATGGCAAAAGTCGAATTACGATTACTATAAACGTTGGAGGACCGTGGTCGTTACCATGGTCGACGCTGTAAAAACGATACTCGTTTGGCCAGGCATAAAGAAGAAACGTGGGAAACGTCGAAGAAGAAAGAGCGCGCGAACCAAATCGATATACGCGTATATGCCTGCGCCGGTTTTTCCACGCCACTCGCTGCTTCACCCCGCGGAAAAGTAAGCTTCGATCGATCATGGAATTTCGGCCTGTCGAATCTACAGCGCTTTATCATCGGAACGATTTGCCGAACCAAACATCAGCGTCGATCCGCGACGATATTGCTCGCGTCGACAGTCAATCTTTTAATCTTGCGTATGTACAAGCGACGCGCGCCTAACTAAATAACCGCGCGATTTCCCTCGTGAAAAATCGACGAAATTAATACAACGCTGTGGATTTCATTCCGTTGCGGTGGATAACGATGATCCCTTTTGACGAATCGTCGACAGGCACTTCTTAAAATTCCAGACGAAAAATGAAACTTCAATAGCCCATGTTCGAGGGAAATGGAACTTGTCAGTTATTAATTCTTTGCTAGTTCGTGTTAAAACGATAACGACAATGTTCGTGTATAAAACATTGGTCTTCTTTCTTCATAAATTACCTAAGCATGATTACGTTAAATTAGATGTAATTACGTGTTTATTTATCCGACGTATTTATTTGGTGTCGTACAAGCCACGTCTCTACAAACGTAGTAATACGAACTATTTATCCTACTCGAATTTAATTATTGTTTTAAACGATTTAAACGAAGAGACAAATTGTTCTCTTCGTCAAATATAAAATTGTTTCTGTGTTCGTACTAATGAGATGAAATAATCTACCACCAACCTAACACGGAAAATACAATCGGAGCGCCTTAAACGCTTTAAACGATATCTTTTTACGCAGAAAGACGAGGATATTCGATCTATTTCCATTTTTAAAAAAGACAATTGCTCTATGCACAAAAGATATCATTCGACAAATGTAATATCGTTTGCTTCGCTCATTTTCCTGTTTCCTATTTTTAGCTAATTGCTCTGGGAAAAGACCTATGATTTAATACAGTCATGCGACCCACTCCTTATACAATATTCATTTCCGTTTAATTAAAAGACCAACATCGCCGATATATTCACGCGCTCAAGCGATGATCTTCACGACGTCGAGTATTTAATAATGCATCCAACCGATGTTAATATCCCAAAGGAAATGGAAGACGCTCCGACCATTGTGAAAGGGTGTCAGCGTCTAGTATTACAAATGCAATTCCGGTGTGTCCTCGGGAAGACAGGCGGCAAGAAAAAGGCACGGTAGCAATTTCAACAGGAATGTAGGTTGGATCGTCGCAGTCGGCTATGAGTCAGTGTGGTTCAAACTTCTCGCTCATGCCGAACGGAAAATCCGATTAGGAAGCAGATGGACAAGGAATTAGCATCGCAAGTAGCCGTCGATTACACAGATTCCATAAAGGGATTATTATCAGAGATCCAGATTTCCTGTTACATCACAGCCTTTCTACCATCAAGACATTATAAGTGCGCATTATAGTTTCTGCTTTTGATTTATTAAGTTATTGCACCGTTTAGTACGTCTTGTCGTCGTAGGTTTAGAACTTTGATTTCCACTATATGCGATTGTTGAACTTTGCGTCTAATTTTCGATTATCCCTTTTCAATGAAACGATTAAAACCAATCTTAATTGCCGATACGAAACAGTTGGATCTACGTTTATTTTGATTATATTTTCAGTTTTATTTGAAATATAATTAATTCGTACAGGTCTGTTAAAAATTTAACGTTATCGTGAACTCGGAGTGTTTTAGACAAAAAGGCCTATAAATCTATTACAAATATACATTATATATTATAGGTTGTGTATATAAATAACCGAATATATTTTCTGGTTAAACAGTTCGACTATTGTCAAATTCATATTTATTTTGTAGATATAAAAAAAAATACAATTCTCGAAGAGTCATTAAAATCATCGATTGAAACTTTGCAA